ACAAAAAGAGAGTAGAGGGTGAGGTTGCCTACTACTTTCCTTTTAATAGGGTATGCTGGGAATGGGAGGAGTCTAAGGCCCTAAATAATACCATGTCTTCTCCACCTTAATACTGAAGGAAAGCACCACTACGGAAAGAAGTGCTGGACTGAAGAACAAGATTGGAGGCTGTTGGAGGCTTATAGGCCAGAACTTTCCTATTTAGAAATGCCTATAGACTTTTAAAAGAGGATAACATGGAGATTCATTAACAATTTGCTCACTAGGCACCACTGGGGGATTGGGTGCTAAGAAGTTATATGTGTCTGCTACCATGATAATCACCATTGCATCCGAAGAACTACTTCACTGAGATTCTTTACCCCACCATTTCTGTGGTGGATAGGGCATTGATTCACAACTGTGCTACTGGAGAGAATTTGAAATGTCAGAAAGAAGCCATATGTGACAACTAACAGCAAACAGAAGAGAGATAAGGAATCAAAAGCCCTGGAGTTTTTAAAGTGATATCTCCCTTGCTCTGAACTCAACTGCAAATCAGGTGTATTGCACCTCAAAGTGTACAAGCAAGTACCTTTTATAACTCGAGGGACATAAATACTAATGAGAATCTTGATTACACATTTTCTGGTTCATGCATACGTTAGGCTCTTTTTCTGTTCTGGTTTTCATGCTAATGTTCTTTATAGAAAGAAGAACTGGAGTCAGAATGTCTAAGGCTGAGCATGGAAGTACACAATTGCTATTACTAAAGGTCTGTTTATCAGAGTCGTGTATCTTCTCCAAACTGAGGGACATTAGAAAAATGGTAGTGCAAGCAGCTTAATGTGAGCTGAGGTTTCATCTCTGAGCATAAATATTTACTACATGTAGGGTAAACCACTGGTGATATGGGGAGAGATGATCCCCAGAAAATTCATAAAAATTGCAATTTTCCTTCCCAATATTTTCTTTTGCTGATCATTCACTGGGTTTAAGTCATTTATTTGCATCCACGCTGCCCAAATAAAAAAAAAAGATGGAAAGCCTGTTTCTCCTCTCCATATCATACTCCTGGTCACATGGTGCTGACTCAACCCTTTTCCCAACTATTAAACTGCATTACAAACAGCTACAAATATTAAATACACCTCTACCTCGATATAACGCTGACCTTGGGAGCCAAAAAATCTTACTGCGTTATAGGTGAAACCGCATTATATTGAACTTGCTTTGATTCACCGGAGTACGCAGCCCCGCTCCCCCCAGAGCACTGCTTTACCACGTTATATCCAAATTCGTGTTATATCGGGTCGTGTTATATCAAGGTAGCGGTGTATTTGTGTAATGTTACTTCTCTATGTAAGTGATAGCTTTGGTTGTCACAGATATGTTATACAATCACAGATGGGACAGGAGATGGTCCATGGTGATATATTATATGGTCTATATGAAATAGTTTGAGAGCTCCTAATATATAGCATCACTTTCATCCTTACATATGTTTGATCAGTAATTTACAATAATAAAAAGAGAGATCAATGCAGGTTTGTATGTGGTGGTGGCAAATTTGAGATGAGGGACATCCCTTTACAGGAGGCACAGTTCTTGTGAGGTATGATCAAAAGAAAATTTCCTTAAAGTAAAAATGTAATGTTTTTATTGCATGCTATAGCAAGGAGGTGGAACAATAAAGCTGAGTTGTAAACCATTAAATAGGGCAAGAAGAGTTATGGATTGTCTTGCACAATCAAACCTTGTATCATTATTACATGGTAGATCCTAATTTCCCTCTGATCTGAGAGGTTCTCATTTGTCACAGCAATTCACAGAGCCACAGGTATGAAGTATGAAAGTAAAATACACAACCAGCCTGTTGCAGTCTTTTCCCTGACATGTGAATGTTTCTGCTCTGATTCTTGATTTCCATTGAGTACAAGGTGAGCAAAACATCTTGCAGAGTAGAGCTGTGGTAACTTAATTTAAAGAGTTTCACCTGCTTTCTGCATTCAGTATGCCCTTTCCCCCATGCTCATCCCATTATTTTGATCCTACTCATAATATCCTTTCAGTGCATTGTATCACAGAGGGGATTCTCATCGGCTGGCCCATCCTGACAACCAGCTTAGGCAGACAGCTACCTCCAATTCTATGTCACACTGCTTGCCAACCTTACCATCCTTGGGAACAGTTAAAACAGATACCTATACCCATCCTCATAGAGGCAGAGAATCACTGTTGCAGGCACTAATTTCTCAGCCTGACAGGGAGAAGTCACTTCTTAATTTGGCTCTCCCATGCCAAAACATTACAAAGCCATATATCTGGCTGGTATAATCATCTCTGTTCACACTGGTTTCTGTGTACTACAACATCCAGAAACTGTCCTGTGAAATTCAGCAGGGTTCTACAGAAGTTCAAGCTTTGTTAAAAACTTTTAGGATTTAAAAGAGACATACTTGTTATAGCTTCTGAGGCATCCTCTAGAAAATTTTACCCATGCTCTAGAGTTCTATCCGTTTCTATAGGCCACAGGGGAATAAATGGAGAGATGTTTTCCTCCATTCTGCACAGGCTGCTACCATTTTGTATTCCAACAGACAAACACACTGTAGGCTGTCCCATGGAGACCTTTCTTGCTCATTCTTGTCCCCATAATATTAAAGCAAGGACATTTATACTGAAAGTATATGATTACTCTTTGCATATGAAAAAGCTTATCATTCACCTGCAACACCTAGATGTAAAGGGAAATCATGCCTCACCAATCTACTAGAATTCTTTGAGGGGGTCAACAAGCATGTGGACAAGGGGGATCCAGTGGATATAGTGTACTTAGATTTTCAGAAAGCCTTTGACAAGGTCCCTCACCAAAGGCTCTTAAGCAAAGTGAGCTGTCATGGGATAAGAGGGAAGGTCCTCTCATGGATTGGTAACTGGTCAAAAGATAGAAAACAAAGGATAGGAATAAATGGTCAGTTTTCAGAATGGAGAGATGTAAATAGTGGTGTCCCTCAGGGGTCTAGACTGGGCCTAGTCATAGGCGTGGGAAGTAGGGGTCCCAGCTGCTGGCCCCAGCTACTGAGCACAGATGCAAGGTCCCGCATCTTGGCTGCTGGCCCTGTGCTTGGGGGTCCCGGCTGTCCGCCCCGCTTCTGGCCACACACGCAGGGTCCTGGCTGCTGGCTCCACTCCCGCCCGCGCACACAGTGTCCCGCATCCCGGCTGCCGGACCCATGCCCGCCCCGCTCCTGGACGTGCATGCAGGGTCCCAACTACCAGCCCCGCTCCCGACTGTGTATTTGGGTCCCGTCTGACGGCTCCACTCCCGGCCGCGCACGCAGGGTCCCAGCTGCCAGCCCTGCATGTAGGGCTCTGCTATTGGCCCCATGCCTGCCCCCAGCCATGGCGCCAGCCTCGACTCATTATCCCTGTCCTTGTCCCCCCTTCTGGAGACACGGCCCTGCTTCTGGCCTCAGCTTGGTGGGGGGGGGGGGCGATGGTAGGGGGCGCATGAGGTAAAATGTTTGGGGAGAGTTTTGCTGGCTTTCATCATCCCTCTATAAAAGCGTTCCAGCACCACTTGGCCCAGTCCTATTCGATATATTCATAAATGATCTGGAAAAAGGAATAAACAGTGAGGTGGCAAAATTTGCAGATGATACAAAAATACTCAGGATAGTTAAGTCCCAGGCAGACTGTAAAGAGCTACAAAAGGATCTTTCAAAACTGGGTGATTGGGCAACAAAATGGCAGATGAAATTCAGTGTTGATGAATGCAAAGTAATGCACACTGGGAAACATAATCCCAACTATACATATAAAATGATAGGGTCTAAATTGGCTGTTACCACTCAAGAAAGAGATCTTGGAGTCATTGTGGATAGTTCTCTGAAAACATCCACTCAATGTGCAGTGGCAGTCAAAAAAGCGAACAGAATGTTGGGAATCATTAAGAAAGGGATAGATAATAAGATAGAAAATATCATATTGCCTCTATATAAATCCATGGTATGCCCACATCTTGAATATTGCATGCAGATGTGGTCGCCCCATCTCAAAAAAGATATATTGGAAATGGAAAAGGTTCAGAAAAGGGCAACAAAAATGATGAGGGGTATGGAATGGCTGCCGTATGAGGAGAGATTAATAAGATTGGGACTTTGCAGTTGGGAAAAGAGATGACTAAGGGGGATATGTTAAAGTTCTATAAAATCATGACTGGTATGGAGAAAGTAAATAAGGAAGTGTTATTTATTCCTTCTCATAACACAAGAACTAGGGGTCACCAAATGAAATTAATAGGCAGCAGGTTTAAAACAAACAAAAGGAAGTATTTCTTCACACAATGCAGAGTCAACCTGTGGAACTCTTTGCCAGAGGATGTAGTGAAGGCCAAGACTATAACAGGGTTCAAAAAAGAACTAGATAAGTTCATGGAGGATAGGTCCATCAACAGCTATTAGCCAAAATGAACAGGGATGGTGTCCCCAGCCTCTGTTTGCCAGAAGGTGGGAATGGGTTTTGGGATGGATCACTTGGTGATTACCTGTTCTGCTCATTCCCTCTGGGGCACATAAATTAAAATAAATTAAATTTTAAATTAATGGAGATATCCTATCTCCTAGAACTGGAAGGGACCTTGAAAGGTCATCAAGTCCAGCCCCCTGCCTTCACTAGCAGGACCAAGTACTGATTTTGACCCAGATCCCTAAGTGGCCCTCTCAAGGATTAAACTCATAACCCTGAGTTTAGCAGGCCAATGCTCAAACCACTGGCCACCGTCGGAAGACAGGATACTGGGCAAGATGGACCTCTGGTCTGACCCAGTGTGGCCGTTTTTATGTGTCAGCTGGTACAGGATGTGTTGCACAGAAGTACAAGTACATTGAAGCTAATTGTGTGAAAATATTTATGGTGTACTGAATCAAGTGAGAGCCATCTGCTCATTAAAAATCCTGCAGTCATCGACAGCATCCTAATAAGCTGTAACGCAGACTTATTGAACAAGTATTACTTACAGCACTCGAAGAGACTTGAGTCCATTAAATGCATGTGTTGGAATACACCTGAGTCTGTTGTAGCTCAGGATCCTAGGAGAATCAGAAAATGCAGTTGCAGTGTTATATGTTTCTTTGCTTATTTTGCTACTAACTTACTTAAGAAGCAGCATGGAAAGACATCAGTTTACATAACAAGAGAGATACTCATTGTTTAATGCAACTGTTTTTTTTGTACTGAACAACAAAACTGATGCCGGAACCACTGATTACTTACAGTGTTGATAGCTGAGTCATGTTGATGAAGGTGTAATTGGCCAATATGCTGATGCTGTTGTTGCTCAAGTCACTAAAGAAATACACACAGCAGATCCATCATTCATACAAATGACTTTAAAAACAAGTCATTTTTAAATGTTAAAGTAGACTCAAGCAGCAAAGTAAGCAATTTCAAAGCTAGCCATTATCAATTGCCATCATCTCTTATAATCAGCCTTGGAAGAATCCTACAGGAAGGCACATCAGACTATTTCTCTACAAGACTCTCAAGCATCTTCTAGGGCACATTTTCAGTGCATTGCAACATAGCAGTGGATGTAAAAGAAATTTCTGGGCAGAAATTGGACAGGCGAGCCATTCATAAGCGCACAACGAATTTATCACATGGATCTGCAATTTGTCACATTGCTATCACCTCCACAGGTAGTGTGTACGTATTTTGTATACACATACACATGCAACTACTGCAGAGGACTAGGGTGAACAGAGTCTGATTGTTGGGATCTATTTTGAACCTACAGTTATGACAACTCCACTTCTTATACATCAAAAAAATAAAAGGCTTTGTTAGGTGCCTTCATTTTTTCAGTGCTATAATATCATAAGTAATGGTTTAACCATAAGAAATTGATGTCTACCTTTCAAGCCTACCAGTGTTGTACAGGTAAATCTGCCACACCCAACTACAGTCACATAGTACATAATAGCTTTACGAACACTTAAAGGAAACAATTGCTGACATGATAGGCACTCAGAAAATGAGTACGAAATGACAATTCCCCATATTCCACTCAAGACATGTGGAGGAAAGAATAATCTAATTTTGCTGGCATTAAAACCATGCATTTCTTACATAAGTGTCAGGTGTCTGAAGGTCAACAGCTCCTTTGGCACAGCTGTTAAATGGTTTCCTTCCAGATATCTGAAAAAGAGTCACATTTTGATGATTAGGCACACACATTAACATGAACTTTGGCCAGGTCAGGCTGTGTCCCTTGTATTTTTTGGGAAATGCAGGATCTATTAGAACTTTAAAAGTAGTAACTAGGGGTGGAATCTTTGAATCATCACAGCTTTGAAACTATACTAACACGCTACTAGAATTTATTTGCTTTGCAAATCCATAGTTTCCAGTCCAAAGCACCATAGTAGCTTGTTGGTGGTTTTGCTCAGAAATATGAAGTGAGTATAGCAAGGACCATTGACCTGCAACTCAAATAAAAGCTCATTTAGCTCTTCATAGAAGACTCTTATAGAAGGAGAAAAAAAATCACACATGGTATGCCCTTGGTATAAGGTTATATTTAATTAAAGTTTTTACAAGCAACTCCCAATGCTAATTGACCCCATTAGAACAATTTCTGCCCTCTGACTGCAAACAGCTTGTACAGACAGTGTTTAAATAAACCCTTGTCTGGGATGTTGCATTACTTGATATTTGTACATCAGAACCTCACTTATTCCAATAGGGCCAATCCAAACATCTGATTATTTTAGAAAAGTTTCACTGCAGTATCTCCTATCTGAGACTTCTTTTTTATTATTATTATTTTTACAATCTACAGTAATACAGGGGGCAAAAACACAAATCATGGTTGATTGTTTAACTCCCATTTGTACCCCCCCAAAATCTCTCCTACATTCAGCAGGTATACTTAATAGAATAGACTGTATTTCCAGGTTAGGTATGCACTGCAGCATCATTGAAAAAATGTATTTTTTTTAAAGACAAAACTAACGTTGTTCACAGGAAGTCACTCTGCAGAGCAAGAAATCTTTAACAAAGGAGGAATTTTATATGGCCAGGAGTCTCTCTCAATATAAATATTATCTGTTTAACACCAAATACATGACAACTAGTTTTTAGCCCTGGAAGATTCTACCTATATCTGAGAACATGGTCAATCTTGGGCATGTAATTTTCCTTAACGTTCATGTACGCAGAAATCTCCACATGTCAAGATGTGAAGACTATTCCCTAAAATTAAGTACCAAATGCACCAATCATTGAACAGGAACTACATGTATACACACTATACATCCTGGAATATAATGTTCTCTTCCAAAGTTATGACCACTTACTCCTTAAACACAATTCATGATTTAATGAAATATATAAAGACTGTAATAGCTCTGGGGCAATTACAAGTGTCCTCATACCAGAGACACTCAAATCATCACTTAATTTGGGTCTGAAAAAAACTCATTATAACTGCTAAAATTTTGCCAGGATGTCCTCATTTAACAATGCTGGTTACGAATCTCCATTGGAAAGCATCAGAAATTACATATTCAATTATGTGGTTCACCTTTGCACACATGGATATGGTATATAGGTGCTTATCCACCCACACATGTGCAAATTCAATTTGCACAAAAACAAGCAGTAGCACATATGCAGCTGGGTAGAAAAGAATAGACCCTCTATGTCAATTTGTGACTTCTCATAAAAACTCTCAATTTTAAATACATTCCTATTTAATACTATCAGATCAAGGTAAGCCTGGTACGGTCAAAGTATTATAAAGCAAAGAAAATGCAAGAGGGATTAATTATGGAAGTATTACAAAATAGAGATATTAGGAATGGTGGTAAAGGATTTGAAAGTGCTTCAAACAGCTACCAGATGGCAATAGTATATAGTCTCACTTCAAGTGGGAAACAGTACATTTCATTTCATGTTGTTAACTGGGCTGTCAAGATCTATGGAGGGTTCACTCACTCTAGTGTTGGACCCTGTGTATCCATATTTAAGATCTGGAGAGTTTGCTCCTGCACTCCTTACTCAAATAACCTCACTGAGATGAAGAATGTAGAATCAGGCCCTTGAAAGCCAAAACTGCTCTTTTAAACTAACTCTGTGGAAGTGTCAGAGGGGTAGCCGTGTTAGTCTGAATCTGTAAAAAGCAACAGAGGGTCCTGTGGCACCTTTAAGACTAACAGAAGTATTGGGAGCATAAGCTTTCGTGGGTAAGAACCTCACTTCTTCTTCTGTGGAAGTGGAGCAGGAAAATGGCTCTACATCCTAAAGGTATTTCAGGCAGAAAGTGTAACATGGCTTCCCAGCATGTGTCTACACCTTCTCACTGCTGGGACTCTAGTATGGGAGACCCGTGGCAAGTGGGAATGGTTTAGATTAGGAGATGCTTTTTGTATTTGTAAGAAAAACTATCATGAGATTAAGACATAATTAAAAAAAGAACACTGAGCCAGATCATAGCCCCTACACCAACAAAGAGGGGATGGACCTTCTGCACTAAAGGGGGGGGGCTTTGCTGCTTCTCTGGCACCCTCTTCTTGCACCCCAGGAAGCCATGGAGGGTGCCCCAAGGTCATGGGGCTGCAAGGAGGTTGTGATAGGGCAGACTGGGGTGGGGTACATGCATTGTCCTCATTTTGGCTCTGGAGAAATTAGTCAAAAATAATATAGCTCTAGTTCTTTCTGCTTTCATCCCAATGTATTGTGGACAGCTGTGGCCAGTGGAAGGCAATGGTAGAGAAGTTCCAATGGAAATGTACTTCCAGTAGGGTGACCAGATGTCCTGATTTTATAGGGACAATCCCGATATTTGGGGCTTTGTCTTATATAGGTGCCAATTACCCCCTACCCCCATCCCGATTTTTCACCCTTGCTATCTGGTCACCCTAACTTCCAGTGGGGAAAGGCCAGTACAGAACTGTAGAACTTAACTTGACTTTGGCCTATGTGACTCCACAGGCATCTGCCAGTTTTCCATGAAACTCCAGTGGCCTTTTCTACAGGGGAAACAAATCCAGCTTCCTCATATACGGGGGGGGGGGGGGGGGGGGGGGGAGGGGAAAGAGAAAGGCTCTGCTTCAGTCAATGCATGCAAAGATTTCATCCCTTTGAGGCCCCTTTTGGTGTATTTCTCCATAGACAGACCTAGGTTATTGCAATCAATATGATGTCCTTCAAAGGGTTATCAAGTATCACCAGGGAGTATGTACACCCACACACAGTAGAGTATATAACACAATGATTTAGAATCTGTGCCACACACAATTTTTATTTTCTTTGGTAACAAACCTATTTGGTCTGTATTTATAACAGTAAACAACAATAATTACAGAAACTAACATGTTATAGGTTCTGTCTCCATGTAGGCTGCTACAACGCCAAATAATTTTGTGCAAGCTATTTGGTCTAAAAGACTCTTGCTGCAAGTTGAGTTTTTGTCTGAATTATTTAAAAGTAAATAGGAGTATACAGAAAAGCTACTGCCATTTATTACAGAATATATTATTTATATCAACTCGTGTTTTATTTTCTCTCTTCTATTTCAGAATAATGCCCTCCCCCATTTTCTGTTGTCTCAGCTCTGCCTTCTAAACTAAACAAACCCCGGGAAGAATTTCTCATACGATATTAGATGCTGGAGCCTAATAATAAATTGAAAAAATCCTCAGCTATCAAATGAATAGAATACAGTGATGAAACCTTCAGAATACATTTTTGGGGCATTTTCCAATTCATTTTGACATGAAATAGATGTCAATTTAAACAGCTTTTTTTGCTAGAAAAGGTCTTTCCCCCCTTTTTTCTTGGTATCTGGTGGGTGTTTAGCAATTGAACACTGAAAGGTGTATGTTGTACTCCAATTCTTCAGTATTCTGACTGAGACAGAGACAAACCTTTGTGCCTCTGGAGCTGGACTGCTACAGCATATCTTCTTTGCAGAGCATATTCAGCTACAATATTCTCAACAATTTCCCGGTTGTCTTAGGGTATTAGCACAAAGGGTAATATTTATACCAATGGAACACTGTGAATAGAACACAACAGCTTCCTAATAATTTTACTCTGAAAAATTAATGATTATATCATTATCATGCACAGCAATTATTAGGGGTGCACAAAACTTTCCTATTTAACTTTCTGCCATATTATACAAACAATGGTGACAAATTCTAGAAAAAGAATTTTCAAAGCCCATTTAAGTTGAGTTAATTTGAAACCACCACAGTTTTTCAGAATATAATGATATAATGGGAGACATGTTAATTTGAGTTGCTGCATTTGAAAAAGCACCACCATTTACACAGGACCAAACTTGATTGGATTCCACATCATACCTCATGGTGGAACTTTATTCTCGTGACATTTACACAGAGCTGATCTAATATAGTAGCTAAGGCCCAAATTCAAAGTAATACACTTAAACCTAAGCCTAAATAATTCAGTGAATTCAGCATACATTGAACAATAATGTCTTTCCTTAGTGGCTATCCCCCATTTAAGAGGAGAACCTGTTTCTAGCTAAAGCAACCTGGCTTGTAGCTTGGGTGGTAAAAGCTTTTGGAGACAGAGGACATCATAGTATCGCATTTATAGAAAAACTTACAACCAAAATAATACAGAGAAGAGATTTTGTTTTCATTTCTTTCTTAGGCAAAGAAGCAAAAGACAGAATGAATTCATTCACTTGACCTTTAGTAGGCAAAGAAACTATGGTATGAACCAAAAAAATTAAATTGATCTCCCAGATTAAATTATCCACAGATTAGGTTAATAGATTCCAAGGCCAGAAGGGACCACTGTGATCATCTAGTCTGAGCTTCTGTATAGCACAGGCCATAGAACTTCCCCAAAATAATTCCTAGAGCAGCTCCTTTAGAAAACCATCCAACCTTGATTTAAAAATTGCCGGGGATGGAGAATCCAACACGACTGTTGATAAATTGTTCCAATGCTTAATTACTCACTGTTAAAAATTTACATTTTGTTTCCAATCTGAATTTGTCTGGCTTCAACTTCTAGACACTGGTAATACTTTTCTCTGTTAGACTGAAGAGACTATTATTAAATATTTGTTCCCCATCTAGATTCTTATAGACTGTGATCAAGTCACCCCTTAGCCTTCTCTATGTTAAACTAAATAGACTGAACTCCCTGAGTCTAAC